AACGTAGTTTTAAGAAATTCAAAAGCCTGAAGTGCCTCGGTAGACCAAACACGAGTATTGCCATCCTTTTTAGTCATACGAGTGATAGGTGCTACAATGGACGAGAAACCTTTGATAAAACGCCTATAATAATTGGAGAACCCAAGAAAACGCTGAATAGCTTTCAGACCTTGCGGTAGAGGCCATTCTATTACAGCAGCTAGCTTCTGGGGATCCATACGAAAACCTTTAGCGGAAATCAAATACCCCAAGAACTGGACTTCGGTTTGGTCAAACAGACATTTTCCTAGCTTGCAATAAAGACCATTAGCAAGAAGGGTCTTCAAAACTGTCGTAACATGTCTGTGATGAGTGTGTATATCTGCAGAATATATTAAAATGTCGTCCAAGTATACGATAACAAATGTGTGAATAAAATCTCTCAATACATCATTAATAAATTCTTGGAATACTGCTGGGGCATTGCAAAGCCCAAATGGCATAACAGTATATTCGTAATGACCGGATCTAGTGTTGAATGCAGTCTTCCATTCGTGATTTTCCTTTATACGTATCAAATTGTATGCATTCCTAAGGTCTAATTTAGTGAACACAGTGGCATGTTTCAGTCTGTCAAATAATTCTGTAATCAAAGGTATAGGGTATGCATTTTTGATAGTGATTTTGTTTAGACCTCTATAATCTATACACGGTCTTAAATCACCTTCTTTCTTCAATACAAAGAAGAACCCTGCTCCAGCTGGAGAAGAGGATCTCCTAATAAAACCTTTTTCTAATGATTCCTTGATGTACTCCTCCATGACACGGTTTTCTTGAACCGATAAGGGGTACACCCTGCCCTTTGGAGGTATAGTGCCAGGCAACAAGTCAATAGCGCAATCATAGGGTCTGTGAGGCGGTAATTTCTCAGCCTCCCTTTTATCAAAAACAGTCTTTAGAGATAAATACTGAGGGGGTATAACCATAGACAAAGGAGGACTGGTAGGTACCTCAATAGAATTCAAAGGTGTGACTTCCAACGTACAAGACTCGTGGCAGGCCTTACTCCATGATTTTATTTGCCCTGTCTCCCAGTCAAAAATGGGATTGTGAGTACGTAACCATGGATACCCTAATACTAACTGTGAAGAGGGAGAGGTGATAACCTGGAATCGAATGGTTTCGTAGTGTAAAACCCCTGTGTACATGTGTAGTGGTTCAGTCTCATGAGTAACAACTGGAGAACTTAATGGTTTACCATCTATGGCCTCAACGGCCAAGGGTATCTCCTTCTCTCTGATGGGAATGTTGTTTCTCTTTATAAAGCCAGAGTCTATAAAATTTTCAGCTGCCCCAGAGTCAATCAGAGCATATATGTTGTCAACTATACAAATCTCTCCCATATATAAAGAAACCGGGAGAAGCAAGCGGTTAGGAGGCAATTTAGGAGACTTAGATATCACACCCAAGGCCAGTCCCCTATAAGGTCTTAGGTGCGAGAGTTTTCCGGGAGTAAAGGACATTCCTTTACCATATGGTCTCTCCTACCACAGTATAGGCAGAGTCCCTCCCTTCTCCTATGTAATTTCTCAGTATCAGAGAGTTTGGCAACCCCTAATTGCATAGGTTCCTCCTCAGACGCTTTAACACTCTCTGGTATATTAACTCTGGGGTTAATGGGTGTAACAAAACGTCTATTCCTGTTCTTGGTATAGAGCCTGTCACGAATTCTATTATCAATATCAATGAGGTAATCGATAAGGTCCTCTAAGGCAATAGGAAGCTCCTTAGCTGCTACCTCATCCAATATCTTATCTGACAAACCTTCCATAAAGGCAGTAGTTAACCCATTGTTGGTCCAATCTACCTGCGAAGCAAGAGTGCGAAATTGAATAGCATAATCAGCCACAGACCTAGAACCCTGTTTAATTCTCATTAATGCTCTTGCGGCATTCTTTGACCTTTTCATTGTGTCAAAAGTTCTACGAAAAGCCGTAAGAAAACTGTTGAAATCATATACCATAGGCCCATTAGCTTCCCAAATAGGATTTGCCCACTCAAGTGCCTTATCGGTAAGTTGGTGCATAAAGAACCCAACCTTAGACCTCTCTGTGGAAAATGAACGTGGATACATTTCGAAGTGGAATTCAATTTGATTAATAAACCCTCTGCAAGTCTTAGAGTCCCCTCCATACCTAGGAGGAGGTGTTAAATGGGCCGAAGTATTAGGAAAAGTAGATACTTCAGGGAGAAGGGGCGTAGGAGGGTTAGGTGTGGTTGCTGGAACGGTTCTAGCTAGGAGCGTCTGGAGAGCCTGAGCTATCTGATCCATCCGGTGATCCTGCTCTACAAATCTTGCCTCATGGGACGCCATCTGTTGAGCTAAATCTGCGGGGTCCATGGCCCTATCGTAATGTAACGAGAATATACCCCTACACGCAGGATCCAGCTAAACAGAGGCAAATACAGAGGAGAGATACGCCTACCGGACCTTAGAATGGCCGGACTTGACGTATATGAGAGAAGACAGAGCCAGGAACAAACCGAGGTCAAGGGCACAGAGAGACAGCGTAAACTAGGACAAGCCGGAGTCTGGTACACGGAAAACAGCAAGCCGGCAAACAGTACAGATAAGGATAAAGCGAAAACGAAGTCAGAATACGAAGCCAAAGTCAATACGAGAAAACACAACTGAACACCACAAGAGCTAAAGGGAACTGAAACAGAAACCACGATAGGGCAAGGAACAAAGGGAAGAAGGTGAGTATAAATACCTAAACATCTAATTTGATTGGTCCCTGTCACATCCACGCCCCCAAAAGGTAAGTGCATGGGGAGTGTGGCATGACAGGGACCAATGGGATGCCTTTTCCAATTTAGGCACCCACTGTCCCTTTAAGAGCGCGCCCGAGACTCGCGGCGCGCTCTTAGTTTCAGGCAGGACACGTGACCGCCTCACGCGGTCACTGCCCGCCCTCCATCCGAAGTAGTTGGATGAGCCGCGCGCGGCTCGTGCAGCCGCAGGACCGCGCGCGGCTTGAAGAGAGGACCGCGACCGGCCCCCGGTTAAGGTAAGTAACGCTACACCAACACTCTGAAGCTCCTATTTGGATCGCAGAGTTGCCACGATCTGTTAAAACTTTATAGAGGAAGCTCTCAGGCCCAGAGTCATCAAACAGAGTGCTATTTGGAGGAGTGTGGTGAGAGATCGAATGTTACCAAAGACTTAAGGGAGCTCCATGTTCAAATGGAAAGTGCCATCATTGAAGATGACTGGGATTTCCTACCCAGCATTGTGTAACTGTCTCTGAGCAATTTTTGGAAACAGTGAGAGACAGAATAACAAAAAAAATCCAGAAACACGCATGTAAAAAAAGTTATAAATTGACTTGCATGTCATTGAGTGAAATAAGTATTGGACCCCTTCGACTTGGTGGCAAAACCCTTCTTGGCAATCACAGAGGTCAGACGTTTCTTGTAGTTGGACAACAAATACACCCCCCTTGGGGAGGTATAGAGAGAAGGGTGGTAAAACACAGTATAATATATAGAAGATAAAACCTGAAAAACAGGATGAAATATTGTGCAAATCTGAATATACAAAATCACATATAGTGAAGTATGCATTGCTGAATAGCTAGCTCCAGGATGTAGAGAACATACAAAAAAATTATAGAAGATCTGCACATATCTCCCCTCAGGGGTATCTGTGGATAGTGGAAATCCTTCCGGCTAGATGGACCCTCAGGAGGAATGTAACAATTTATTTACTGATTGCACTTACATCAAAGGTGAAATCAGCTGGCTTATCTCCACTAGCAAGTGGATCGGATAAAAATCCTCCAATGAAGGGAGATGTAGTGTCGAAAATACAAATAAAAAAAAGAACAAAGTGAATGGACATAAAATCAAGCATGAA